GAGCTTTCTACAGAACTCACACAAGGCCAGTCAGTGCAAGCTGGCAGGAGTATCTACAGACCAGGGCTTGACTGAGCCTCCTCTGGACCAGGCCCCCAGGAAGCCATCCCCTGTTCTGGGCAGCCACCAGAGCAGGGCCCAGGGAGAAACCAGACTCTGGCTGGCTGGGCAGACTCCCAGCAGGATGGGCTTGCAGGGGCTAAGGCTGCTGCTGCTTCCCCCCATCCTGAGAAATGTCGGAGGGCAAGTTTCCTTTAAGGGGCAGGGAACCATATGGATGTTAACTGATTGCCTAATGGCATAGCAATAACGATGACAGCACATTAATAACTGGGAAGGGAAGCCAGGAGATTGGCTAAATGAATGCTTAGGCTCCTCCCAGTCATCTAATAACCTGAGATTTTATTGCAACAGCAATCCTCAAGCACCTTTCTGCCTCTGGTCTCTCCGGCTTCCATTCATCCACACACCAGTAAGACGAAGTTTTAAAAGACTATGTATTTTTTTCTAAACCATGTCGCCCCTCTTTCGTGCCACTTCCAAACTCTTCCTCAGGGATGAAGTTCAACCTGGCCTTACATCGCTCAAGCCCAACTCACTTCTCCAGGAAAGAATCCTCCAAATTTCTTGTGCTTTAGACAAATCAGGTGACTTTTCACCTTCATGCTTTGACTCATGTGGTTCCACCACATGGAAATGCCCCCCGTCCCCCAGCTGCTCTTCATTTCCCTGGCTCCTCTCCCAGCTACAGGCCCCTTTTCTGATGCCGCAGACCCTGAGGCCCTCTCTCTCCTCTGGTGGTCCTGGGCACTCTTTTCCCTCATGCAGTTGTGCTGGGTGGCCCGAGGGGACACCTGCACTCACGGCGTCATATACTCTTTGAGGCCCCTTTATGGAAGCCACCTTTGCTTTTAGGACTAAAGATGTCGCCAAGGTTGCCCCAAATATGGTGAGGCCCTTGCATCAACTGGTCCAACCCTGTCAGTCAATGAACACTGCGGTCTCAAAAGGGGAAGAGACTTAGCCAGGGTCACCCCAGTACATGGTCACGTCAGTTCTCTAGGATTTCACCTGCCTCTTCCCCCATTCTCATTTCTCTTGCAAAAGATAAAAAAACCAGTTCCTTCACATGCATTAATTTTGGCCTCCAGAAGTAGTTCTTCCCTTGAACTTCAAAGGTAAATAGCACCCTGGCTGTTGCCTCTGATATTGAGACGATTTCTGCCTAAGGTCTGCCAGCAGACCGAAGACGGGGAGGGATGCCGCCTTCTGCCAGGTGTGCCACCTCTCAGTTTCTCTGCAGACAGAATTCTTGCCAGCTAGGCTGTATAATTAATCAGTTTTTAATAGTCCCTTATATGAAACAAATAACCACCCCACCCTTGTTAATCTGCTCTGGAAATCCAAACTTTTCGTCAGAGCTGAAAGGATTTTGCCAGTGTGGGCACACCTGCTGTCTAATCCTCCTGCAGGACCAAGCTGTACCCGCTCCACCTTGCTCTCGTCCCCTCCATGCTACCAGAAGCAAGGCGTCACTTCTCCTCCAAGAGCACCTGTCACTGTCCTCACGAATCGAGACTCCACCAGCCCCTGGCAGCTGTGGGAGACCAGTGGACGAGAGGGTTCAAGAACCTGGGGTATCCTGCAACCCTTTCAGGGTCACACCCAAGAAGTGATTTACTGAGGGGTGAGGTGAGGTGAGAAGGAGGGTAGCATGTGTAGGGGTGTGGCGGCACAGAACACAGAAGGCAGGGAGTGGTGTTGGACTAGCATCAGGTAATCTAGCACCCAAATCCCAGCATTGCCACTTACTAGCTAGGACATTTAATCTTTTAAGCAGGCCGCAAATCTCTCTAAGCACTAGTTTCTGCCTCTTCAGAATGGGTACTGAAATCTGCCTTTTAAAAGAAGGCCAGCCACACAAGGGCTATGCACTGGGAGCCGGATACCACATGGCCGAATGTGGCTTGAGTCCCAGCCCCAATAGCTTGAAAAATAGGGCATGTGTATGTGTGCCCCAAGTCCTGACAGGTTAGAGAAATAGAGGAAAAGAGGATTGTGGAGTGAGCTCGCCCCATGGAGGGTCTCTCTCTCTCTCTCTCTCTCTTTGGTAAGCATGCACCCTCTGGCAACTGAAAAAGAAATTAAATTGAATTACATTTTAAAAAGAAAGTGAGGGACCAGCAGGTGGCATGATGGTTAAGGTGCTGGACTCCCACATGATTGACTATACTGACTATGGTTCGAGTGCCAGATATGGCGGCTTGTTTTCTCATTTTCCTCTCTCTCTGGCTCTTTCTAGTGAGCACATGTGCCTGATAGCAAATTAAAAAAAAAAAGACAATAAATAAATAATGAGAGAGAGAGAGAGAGAGAGAGGGTCAAGTGAGGCAGAGTATTAGGACATACTCTGCCAACTGCACAAGCTAGTATATACCTGAAGGGTGTATTGTGCCATGGCTACGAACTGCCGACACTCCCTCCTTCTTCCCCCAGGGCACAAAAGAGTTGGCACCACTCTAACCTTCACTGTTCTCAGTGACAGCAATTTCCAAGGCATCAAAACCCAAGGCTTACCCACAGAGGCCCTTTGTTACCTATCCTTAGTTAGCTGACTAACCCGGAGCCCAGTAAGAACACTTGAGAAGGATGATCAACTACCTTAGATTTGGGGAGTCCCACCAGGTACAGAACAAGCTACCTTCTTCGGGGTCCAGGGACACAGTGATGGAGTCCTTGAACACCTCGTGGACAAGCGTGCCATTGTAGACAATGGTCCAGGCGGTCATGTTCACGGTCACCGTCTTCACATCAGTGGTCAGGTTTTTGAGTATCAGGGCCAGGTCGACTTCTTTGCCCACTGCTAGGACCCCCATGACCTTGAACTTCCCAGAGATGCTAGGCTCCCGTTCCTCTCGTTCCATACCCCTCGAAGATGTAGGGCCGAATGACGCATTGGGCTTAAGTTTCCCCATAGCCTTCTGGAACACTTGTCTTTCCATGCTGGAGTCTGTGCAGTGGGAGAAGACAGAAGCATCCCAGAGTTGTGCTGGCAACCTGGACAAAGGATACTGCCTCTCCTAGAAAGGTGGCATGGGACGGACACTAGCTCCACTGCGGCGCCACAGTGCCCAGGAGGTGTCTCACTGCTTCAGGTCTCTAGTCCTCCCCCTTACCATGAAGCTCGCTGACCAGCTAGTCTCTAGTGCTTTCTCAGTCAGTTCTAAGTTTCCCAGGGCAAGGTTTATCAGCCCTTTTACAGAATTACTATATGTGTGTCTGCACAATGATGCTCAGAGCCTCAGTGCCTATATATAGGTCACCTGATGGGTTTACTCAAGTCTAAGCTTCCTGCTGCTGTTTTCTCTCTTTGGGGTTGCTATCGTGTGAATGCTTAGCAACCATTTTACAATAGTTAGCATAATGGCTATGTCGCTGAACTCCCATGTAATCGACCGCGGTTCAAGTCCCAGACCCAGTGGCTTAAACTCACGCCGGTCGTGTGTGCGTGCGTGCCCAAGATCCCGAGAGGAGAATGGAGGAGAAGGGATTGCTGCATGGCCATCCCCCCCCCGGGGGGGGGTGATTTCTCGCTTTCTGTCTCTCTCTGTCTTTCTATAGAAAGAACCTCTAAAAAAAATTTACTATATGGCATGTTCCTTATGCTCTTTAAGTTAGATTTCATTATTTTTTCTGATAAAATATCTGTGAAACTTTAAGAACAGATAGTTACATTTTTTAAAATAACAAAAATGGAACTGAATAACATTAGAATGAATCTGTAAGCAAAAGCAAGGTTATGATTTAGAGCTCACTTAATTAAAATTTTTTTCAAAACACTTCACCGTGCTCTTCTCCCTTGTTTCTAAAGACACTGAGAATCAAGGAGTGATGTTCTGGTTTGTGCCAGTTGACAACTTCCCATGGCCAGTATGGTTCCAAGGTATGACTAGTTGAAATTGTTGAGAGCTTTCAGGTTTGAAATGCAAGGGCTGAATAAGAGAATGGGTTTCCTGAGTCTGATTCAGGTTATGGGTGCTGCTGAGGGTGGTGGCATAAACAGCCCTTGGAGAACGTCAGGGATATACCCTGGATGGCTCTTTGGGCACTAAGAGCTGAGTAATCAATTTCAAGCCTATGAGCTAAGGCTGACTAAGCAGTTCACACAAGGTTTCCTGTTTGACCTGAAGATAGATCTGTACGAAGAACGCATCGGTCTTCCAAGAACAGGGGCAGATGTACACAACAAAGTGTGATCACGTTTCCTTCCATCTGCAGGTCATACTGTGGTCTCCCACCTTCCCCAACCAACCTGGGAGGTTCATAAATTAGTATGGATGGCACTTCACAACTCAGCAAGCCCTTTCCCATGTAACAAATGGCAGGGACTTCAGAGGTCAACTCAGCCAGTTCCATCATGTTAGCATTAAGGTCCTAAGAAGAGGAGCCCTTGGCCCAGGCCACTCTGGGGACTAGAGGCAGAGACGGGGGCAGTTCCCAGGTGTCTGATTCCCCGGTCTAAGGTTCTTCCCTCACACCCTACTGAAAAAGAGGCAGGCTGTCAGATTACCCAAGCTGATAGCTCCTGATGGGTTGGGTTCCTTCTGGTGCCTTCCCATTCTCTAGTCGAGTGATAAGTCCACACCCAAGGCTGATGGCTGTGCAGGGATCTGAGGCTTCTGTGCCTGTGACCTCGAAGCAGGTGTGTCTGCACAATGATGCTCAGAGCCTCAGTGCCTATATAGGTCACCTGATGGGCTTACTCAAGTCTAAGCTTCCTGCTGCTGTTTTCTCCCTTTGGGGTTGCTATCGTGTGAACGCTTAGCAATCATTTTACGAGCTTTTCCTCCCCAGGGCACTCAGGGACAAGCTGGTATCATTAGGTAAGAAGAGCTGGGCAACATCAGGTAGGGTAATCTGTCCTGCTGTCACGCAGGCCGGGCATTGCCAGGACTCTTGCAGGGACCGCCTGCAACCTGGCCATTACCTGGACCGGCTCTATTGCTTAGGAGGTTTGGCTGGGACAGTCGGAGCCCACGAGAGGCAAGATTAAGGCATGAGAATAAGTAAGGAGAGGAACCCATGGGATCCTGTATCAGTGGAAGGAGTGCCTGCAACACAGGCACCTTGGGAGGTCATGTTCAATGAGGCTACAGATGTTCAAATTGATAGGATCACCGCTGCTATTTATGAAGGGCTCACTGTGCGCCAGGAACTGTTCTCAGCACTCTGTGTACAGTAGCTCATTTAAATCCAACCAAAGATGGGCGTTGCCATTCTCATTTCATGGGTAAGGAAACAAGGGATCAGAGATCATAAGACACCTGCTTGAGGCTGCAGTTATAAGAGGTAGGACTGGAGTTCACCTTCTGACCTAGGTTATTTGTGGACCACTACTCTTATTTCTACATCACGGCACTATTGAAAATGTTGGGCTATGTCTGCCTCACTGGTCCCATGCGTAGTGTTCTCTGCTGCAGAGAGATAGAGCAGGCACTGGGAAGGGACTCAGTACATGCTAAGTGCCTGGGAGAAAAGTCCTTCAAACCTCAACCTGGGGACGGCCTGCAGCAGCAGACTGGGGCCAAACTGAGGCCTCAAAATGGCCACAAATCCCAGGACCTAGAGCGGTTGGCCTTTGGGACTTGAAGCCAGACCCTGTCTCTTCTGCTCAACTTTCCTCTTTTGGAAACTCTGGTCAACACCAATAGCCATCAATTGCTCAGAGATTTGGGGCTCCCTTTAGGAAGTGCCATAGGCATCTTTATGACAATACATTTCTTGACCCCTTGGAACTGACTGAGGATGAACTGAACCAACTCTTTCAAAGCATGATAGAAAGAGTGCAATGTTGACCCCGTTAAGGAGTGACTGTAGACGACTGGAGCAAGCACTAAATTACTTTCAGCTGTTTCTAAATGAACTTCACCTTCACATGCAGAACTTTTGTCACCACTGAGAATCCTCGAAGAGAGATCCTGCTTGTTCCAAAAGCAACTTGTGAGAAACCAACATGATTGGAGGAAAGCCAGCTTCATTCCAACTGGCCTTCCATGGTGACTCTAGGGGACCAGCACTGGCATGGGTGTCTGAGGTTTCCCAGACTTGAGATCCAGCTTCCCATGTGATCACTCCTCACCTGCTTCTTGGGGCCCTAGCCCGTGTCTCTGGGTTTCTTTATTTCCATTCTTTTTCAGATGAAGTTTTCTGCTCATTTCTCAGAGGCTAGGGGCCCTGGTCTAACTGAGAAATCTCTCTCAAGACCATTGGGAGCCTTCCATGTCTCTCCCTGTGATGTTTTGTCACAGTGCTGTCACCTCACCTGTGCACTTGAGAAAGGGATATAGCTGGAGATGAGAAGGGCTAGCTGGGCTGGCAACGGCCCGTGCCCTGCAGCAAACTTCCATGGGCCCTGCGACTGCCACCGGGTTTTGTCCTGACTAGGAATAGTTGGAGAACTGAGCACTAGACACCAGGGAGCAGTCCTAGCATTCAGGCAGAACTGGTGGTGAACGAAGGGGGAGGAGGAAGTGTTTTCACCTCTCCACCCTCCAAGCCTTCCCCCCCCACCATCAAGTCCCGTGTTCCTCAGCACCCCTCCTACCTTCTGGGTACTTGTACTTCTCTGTGACGTCCACGCGAGAGTTGCTGCCCACTGCCTTGGTGCTGATGTACCTGCCAACGGAGCGAGGGTCCACGGAGTTCTTCCTCTGGGTGCCGTTGGAAGGATCTTCGATCCAGGTGGTGCGGTCAGCATTCACCTCCGAGAAGACAAAGGGCATGTCGAAGTCCAGGTTCACATCTCCTTCTTTGACAGCAATAACGGAAGCAGGACCGCACTGGAACACCCCTGGTGGCCAGGAAGCAGAGGTTGGATGCGTACCAAGGCTTGGCCCATCCACAGCAACCCCTGCCCACCCAAGGCCTTCTCCTCTTTGGGTGTCCCATGATTATCCCAGCTCTTGGTCTCTACCCTGCCCAAACTCCTTCAACCTTGACTGTCTGCCCCACTCATCTGGGCCTGAGCAGAGACCCTGCCGAGCTATGGTTACTTTTCTGCAATGACACCTGGTCAAACTCCACCTCTACATAAGAGTGACTCAGTGTTGCATTCAGGGGGTGCCTAATCCATGCTGACCCGGTGCCCTTGGCTTGTTTCCTAAAGAGGAAAGACTTGCTGTCTCATGCTCAGGGTTGCATCTGCTTTTTCACCTCTGCCAATTATTCTGCCCTGGGAAGTCATCACCCTCCTATTCCTGGAAAACTGCCCTGAATATCCAGCCCAGAGTTTCGTGGTTCTCTGAGCTCCAAGTCCTGTTGCCTCTCTCTAGCACTCAGCATGAGTCCTTAGGCAGACAGAAAGGCGGGAACATCCAGATACCATTTCACTCGAGGAGTGTCCAGCTGAAAGCGAGTACGTATAGAAGAATATCATTCCATTTGTGTTTACAAAACAAACTATACACACACACACATTTTATGCCCATGGAGCAGTGATTTTCAACTTCTTAAAACTATGGTTTCTATAAAGAAATCCCTTTGACACCTCGGCACACATGTGATGCTGAGACCAAAGTTTCACAGGGCAACACTTAGGCTTACTGTGTCCAGTGAACTTTTTATAAAAAAATAATTATTTTATTTAACTTTATTTATTTATTTATTTAAATTTGACCAGAGAGGGAGAGAGAGAGAGAGAGAGAGGGTGAGAAAGCAAGCCACCAGGTCCAGGACTTGAACTGTGGTCAGCCATGTGGGAATGCAACTCCTAAACCACTATGTCACCTGCAGGGCCCCATGTCCATTGAATATTTATTTTTGCCTTTCCCATTCTATTTCATTTTCATGTTATTTTAAAAGTGGTGGTCTTGGGAACCAGCAGTTAGCGTAATGGCTATGTCGCTGGACTCCCACGTAGTTGACCGCAGTTCGCATCCCGGACCCGGTGGCTTAAAACTCACGCCGGGCGTGTGTGTGTGTGTGTGCCCAAGATCCCGAGAGGAGAATGGAGGAGAAGGGATTGTGGCGTGACCATCCCCCCTGGGGGGTGATTTCTCGCTTTCTGTCTCTCTGTCTCTCTCTGTCTGTCTGGCGAGCGCACGCGCCCTATAGTGAAAAAAAAAAAAAAAAACTCTCAAAAAAAAAAAAAGTGGTGGTCTTGGGGTCAGCAGGTAGTTTGGTGGTTAAAGCCACTGGACTCTCTCATGGCTGGCCACGGTTCAAGTCCCAGACCTGGCGGCTTGCTTTCTCACTTTCCCTCTCTTTCTCTGCCTCTCTCTGATCAAACTGGAAAATAATAATAATAATAATACTAAAGTTCAATAAAAATAAATTTTAAAAAGTGGCGGTCTTAAGCCACTAACTTGAGTTTAGAACCACTAATGGAGTGCAATAACAAGTTTGAAAGACAGTGGCATAAAAAATGTCTAGAAGGTTATCACCCAGCCCCAAATAAAGTCACCTTGCATTGCTTCTGGAAGAGGGGCTAGGGATTAGGGTGTGGGTAGGGGTAAGAGTTTTTCTAAATTTTTTTAGAACACACACTTTTAAAAATCTTTCTAAAAATGCACTTTATAATTAAAAAAAAAAGTTTGAGAGAAGTTTAAATGAAGGTTCCTGACTAGACATATTCTAGAGGTCAAAGGAGGGCAAAGGGAAGAGGAGGGAAAAGGAGAGGCTCTCAGAGAGCCTGGGGCCCAGAGTGATGGGGTGAAGGAGAGAGAGGCCGGGGAAAGGCAGGCGGCCTGCAGGAGAGCTCAGCTGGGTGGAGGAACACACTTGAAGGTGGGAGAGCTGCTGAGGCCATGATCATGGGGGTCTCGAGTTGAGCGGGGACTGTGGACTCAATCCCAAGGGCAATGGGGAGCCACAGTTTTCTGCACTGAGCAGGGGAGGCTACCAGGGGTGGTACAGGAACATCGTTATTGGCAGAGGAAGGCTTGTTTCCTGCCTGGCACAAGCTGGGGCTTCTGCGGCAGCCATAAAAGAGAGGAAGTGTGGGTGCATGGAAGGAACCCCTTTAAAATAGCAGCTGGAGTCAAACAAAATTAGGAGAGAAGACTTTTTTTAATTTAAAAAATATTTTGGTTTGGGGGCCAGCAGGAGGCTTGGTGATTAAGGTGCTGGACTCCCACGTGGCTGACCACAGTTCAAGTCCCGGACCCGGTGGCTTGCTTTCTCACTTTCTCTCTGTCTCTCACTAGTGAGTGCACATAGACTATAGCCAATTAAAAAATTATAATGATAGCAAATAACATTATATAAATAAGTATTTAAAAATATGTTTTCATCCCATGATACTTTCTAGAGGTAGAGAGGGCTTTGAGGTTGCTTCCCCATGCCGCTGTCCACTGCTGTAAATAACTGAGAGGCTCACGACCTAGAGCTATGCCCAGAGAATGACTGGCAGAGGTCTGGTTACCTTGGCTCCTCTCCTGGGGGGTAGCATCCAGCACTTGCCATCCACTGTATGAAGGGCCCAGGTCAGTCCGCACAAACCAGGCTTCATTCCAGACGTGGAAATTCCTGCAGACAGAACCAGAGACTGCAGAGCTTGTCCAAGGCCACAGGTGAGTGGCAAAATGCCACATCTCTGACCCAACAGCCTAGCAAACTGATACTCACGCGGTGAGTCTACCCCAGGTTAAGTCTTGTTCTCCCCAAACTCCTCACAGCACTGTGAAATGATACCGTCCTTTTGCCCATTTCATAAAAAGAGAAGTTAAGCAGCAAACCATGGCAGAGTCAAAGTCTGGGCCTAGGTTTGCCTAACTTCAAAGCCAAAGCTGTGAACACCATGTTCAGCTGCCTTTCTGAGTAAGCAGAGCAAGCGCACCTCAGAGCTAGAGCCCAGCAGACAATCCCCACGTCCTGCTGGGGCACACTTCCGTAGCTGGGGTGAGTTGAACATGAATTGGATGCAGCAGGAGAGATGGTCTGGCCAAACTGAAGAATGACACCCACCAGTCCTAAAATACTCTTCATCAAGACCATTGCCCTGTGTCCCAGCGTGAGCCTCGGTCACTGCTCACTCCCCACAATGCACAGCCGATTACAAAATCTGACTCGTTCCAGCCCCTTGGTTCCACCCCTCTCTCTCTACCTCTCTAGTCCCATGGAAACGACAGTAACAATGACTTCAGCATTGTTCCATTTTACCTTGAAAAAAAAGTAAGACCAACATAAATTTAAGTTCTAACCACTCTGGAAATTTTTTTTTAAACTCATGGGGTAGTTTCTAGACTCAAAGAGAGTTCCAAGCAGGCGACCCACTTCAGAAGCTGCAAACGAAAAGATGGATGCACTTGACTAGGTAAAAACAAAATTAAACTTACATATAAATAAACAAATAGAAACCTGTATTTCTATTTCTGGTAAAGGATGAACTCATAATAGATGGATCCATCTGTATATAATGATACACTCTGAAAACACACACACACACACACACACACACAACAAAACAGAAATAGACAAGTCCTGAAAGAGAACAAAGCAGAGAGATTCCGAATGCAAGTCAAGGCTTGGAGGAAGCAGCCGGCGTGGGATGTATTACCTCTTGTGACTGAGGTCTAAGAACAGGGCGCCATGGGGTTCAGTGCATGGCAATAAAAACTCCACCAAAGGGCCCACATTTCTCTGACTTGAGGAACCACGAAATAGCCTGAGTCAACCAGGGTTGCTGGAGAGTGAAAAGGGAGTTCTAGAAAGAAAGAGCCAAGGAAAGAGAACCTCAAATTCATCTCTGCCCAAACCTCTGGGTTGCCCCGGAATCATGTGTGTATGGGCAGACTACGAGTCATCCGGCTAAAGGTGAAAGAATTGATCTGAGATGGGAGTCCACCTCAGAGAAGACTGCTTGAAGTTTACGTCTACCCAAGATAGAATGCTAAAACAAAACAATAAAACCAGAAATATCCAGTGTTTAGGGTATAATCCAAAAGTACTGCACATACAAAGAACCAAAAAAAGGTAACATCTTCAAGGGAAAAGATGACCAACAAAGACCAACCCTAAAATAATCCAAATCTTAGAATTGTCAGGAAAGGACTTTAAAGCAGCTACTATAACTATGCTCAATGAAATAAAAGAAAATATCCTTATAACCAATGAAGAGAGGAATTTTGTTTGTTTGTTTGTTTTTGTTTTTAGATTTTGCCATATGATGCATGAGCTAGCCAGAGAGAGACAGAGACAGAGAGGGAAAGTGAGAAATCACCTGCTACAGGAAATGGCCACATGATAATCTTTTCTACTCTATTCTTCTTTTGGGATTTTGGGCATGAACACACACATGCCTGGTGTATTTCAAGCCAGAGTCCGAGACTCAAACCACAGTCTTTCTGGCTTCTTTCACCCTAGGTAGTTATTTAGGCATTCATACATGCCATATATATTAAGCCACTGGGTCTGGGGCTTGAACCATGGTCAGCGATGGGGGAGTCCAGCACCTTAAACACCATGCCACCTGCTGATCCCAAGAAAAGAACTCTTGACAGAAAAACAGAAAATTTTAAAAAAGAGGCAAATGGAAATTTTTAACTGGAAAAAAGACCAATATTTGAATTTAATTCAATGGACTTGTTAACAGAACAAAAATGACAGGGAAACAAGGTAAAAACAACAACAACAACAACAACAAAAAAAACCCTTGAAGATGGGTTATACAAATTATCCAATCTGAAGACAAAAGAGAAAAAAGATAGAAGAAAACCAGTAGAGAAAATATGTGAAACATATGTGCTAGATAGAAGTTTACTATATTAATATTATAAAGTACCTACATATCAATAACAAAGACACAAAAGAAAAATATACCAAAGAAGAACAATGACCAGGCAATTTTTGTAAGAAATACAAGTGATCCTTGAACATATAAAAACAGTTTTGCCATCTCTACTATTAAAAGAAAATCACCATGACTCAGAGATACCATTACATACCTGTGTAGAGACACCTAAGTTATCCCTGTTAGAATGACAGAGATGACACCAGAACGATACTCATTGTTGTACTCATTTCCCCAGGTGGGAAAACAAAGCCCTGACATACACCACTGGTGGGAGTTTAAATTGGTCTGACCTTAGTGGAGGGCAATTTGGCGATGACTATTAAAAACCTTTGAACAACTGTATACCCACTGAACCAGCGAGTTCACATCTGGGAACTTCTTCTGTAAAAAACTCACATGATCACTTCTAACCTTATGGCTAAGGTCAAGGGGAAAATGCATGGATGTACACATGAAGATGTACATTGTGGCACTATTTGTGTTAGCAAAAATGATGGCAGAAAAAAGCTATTGATAAGGAAATAGATAATTATGGCACAGCCACGTAGTGCAATATTATGCTCTGGTTAAAAGGAACATGCAAAATCAATCTAGTATTTACATGAAGAGATATTTAATATATATAGATAATCTGGAAAGTTGTGATGTATTGATCTATACAAAAATGTGCATCATGACTTTCCTGATGGCTTCATATTATGAAGTAAAAAAAATCAAGTTGCAAAACAATGTGTAGATTTTATATATATATATATGTGTGTGTGTGTGTGTATAATGAATCCATTCACATTTTAAAAATTATACATAAAAAATTGGAAAAGTTAGTCTCCAATAATTCTATTATCTTAGAGAGCCACCATTAATGGTTTGGTGTATATGTTGTGTATATGGTAAATGGGAACTAAATTTTATGCTATTTATTTCTGTGATATTCTTCTTTTCTTTTTTTTTTCTTTTCTTTTTTTTTTTTTAGAGAGAGATTTTTGCTATAGGGTGTGTGTGCTCACTGGAGAGACAGAGAGACAGAAAGTGAGAAAGGCCCCCCGGGGGGGATAGCCATGCCGCAATCCCTTCTCCTTCATTCTCCTCTTGGGGTTTTGGGTACCCATGCACGTGTGCCTGGCATGAGTTTCAAGCCACTGGTCTGGGACTTGAACCATGGTCGGCCATTTGGAAGTCCAGCGACATAACCACTACACCATCTGTTGATATTCTCGCTTTCTATAGTGAGAATTACTCATTATTTCTGTGATTAGAAAATAAATAAATACTTTAAAAAAGAATGTGATATAAATAACAACAGCTAACACAATATGTGTTAACATAGAAAGTATTTTATCTGTCTTATATTGGATTGTCAGAAAAGTCGTGATGTGTTTTTCTATGCAAAAATGTGTCATGACTTTTCTGATAACTCAATAGATATTAACTGACTTACAATACCCTAAAATAAAGAAATATGGAACTAGTAGATGGCATAATGGTTACGTTGCTGGACTCCCATGTAGTCGACCATGGTTCAAGTCTCGGAGCTGGTGGCTTAAAACTCAAGCCAGGCGTGTGTGCATGTGTGCCCAAGATCCTAAGGGAACAATGGGGGAGAAGGGATTGTGGTGTGACCATCTCCCCAGGGGGGATGATTTCTTTCTTCCTGTCTCTCTGTCTCTCTGGCAAGTGCATGCTCCCTACAGCAAACCCCCCCCCCAAAAAAAGAAATAATTACTATCCCCTTTTGACAACTCTAAAAACTCAGACATAAAGAAGTTAAATGATTTGTCCAAAGTCTCACAGCAAGTAAACAGTCAGAATGGGATTTGAATCCAGGCAGAAAGAAAACAGGAAAATAGATTACATACGTAAAGGGAAAGTAAAATACTGGTTCAACCACATAGTGGGATATGATGCATTTAAAATAATCTTATTTTTGAAGATTCTTTAATGACATGGGAGAAATGCTCATAATATTTTAGTCAAAGACACAGGATTAAAACTGTGAAGTAGTTGGTTTCTAGGTGTGGGAAAAAGTAGGAAGCATCTATTAAATGTTCTGTCTTCTATGCAAGTCTATAAAATGTACAGTCCTAGTTCTATAAAGAAAAACAACAACTCATAGAGGACAGACTGGATAGAAAACTATCAGATCAATGTATGAACAATAAGGTCACAGACGGTTTTTACTTTTTTATACATTTTGAAGGTATCTGTAACTGTGAAAAAAAAAAAAAAGTCACTATAAGGGCCAGCCAATGGCATGGTGGTTAAGGCAGCTGGACCCCACAGGGGTGACTGTGCAGTTTGAGTCCCAGACCTGGTAGTTTGTGAGTGGAGAATGGAGGAGAAGAGATTGTGGCATGGTCACTCCCCTGGAGGGTGATTTCTCACTTTCCCTCTCTTTTTCTCTTTGTCTTTCTCTGGTGAGTGTGTGGACACTATAGCAAAACTAAAAAAAAAAAAAAAAAAAAAAAAAAAAAAAAAAAAAACCTGAAAAAAAAAAAAATTCCAGGAACACCCACAAGGCATTTTCTGAACAGGTCAGAGTTCACCAAGGAGAATGCATGAGAAGATGATCCTCAATGAGCAAAGGGGCAAAGGAGGGCGAGGAAGTGCTGAGAACACCAAGTTCACATTCCTTTAGTTCCTGGCAGAGAAATCTAGGGAAGAGCAGGTTAGGAAAAAAAAAAAAAAAAAAAAAAAAAAAAATGGGACAGGTTG